GGCTCTCCCAGTGTTTCCCATGCCAGCGGTGTGCAAACTTGACAAGATGTAACAGTCGTCTCTGCCACCATTGAGACCTCGGATCACTCATACAAATGGATGGTTAGTCAGAGTGACTTCAAGTAAATAATTTTGCCAACGTTTATCTATTTTGAAAAGGCAAATGACTCTGGATGGTGTGGTTTAATTTCATAAATATTGCCATGATTTGATCAATGACAATGTCTTCGGGTCTAGAGATCTTTCTTCCTAGGATCTTTGAGTATTTCACTCAGGCCATTCTTTAAAATGAGAAACAATTAGCATTAATCAGTTCTAATGAAGAAGGGTGCTCATATATAAATTCCTACAAAACAAAACAAAAATAGAAACACGCACTAAAATCATACATGTGAATTTAGTGTTTTGATGTATTCTGTACACTACCCAAACAGTAAATTTACAGTCTTAGAGATATGCTAGTCTAAGTATTTTATTTTTTTTTAATGTTTTTATTTCTGAGAGAGAGAGAGAGAGAGACAGCGTGAGCAGGAGAGGGTCAGAGAGAGAGAGAGAGAGAGAGAGAGAATCTGAAACAGGCTTCTGTGAGCTGGCTGTCAGCACAGAGCCTGATGCGGGGCTTGAACCCACGAACTGGGAGATCATGACCTGAGCCAAAGTCAGACACTTAACCGACTGAGCCTCCCAGGTGCCCCTAAATCTTTTATTTTAGATGAAAAAACTAGAACTAAAAAAACAAGTGAAGCGTCTTACCCAACGATGCATAGAAGAGCTACAACTGTCACCTTAATGAGCCTTCACTCACTACTCCATCATGAAGCTCTGCACCCCCTGGTCTGTCTCTTATAGTGCCAGTAATTCACAGGTGCTGGGAAAGTAACCATGCCCTTGACAGGCAGGCTGGATTCCAATTAAAATCACCATTAGTGTCAGTTCCTGAGGCACAGAGTGCTTGAGGGTTGAACAGCTGGCCCCCAAAATATGCTAAAAGTCAAGAATATATCATCCAGGATGAAACCTTTGCTTTAGATAATAAACCTTGTGTGTGACCTGCAGGAATATAACAACTATCCTTTCTACAGAAGAGACGTTTAAGGCTTGGTGTGCACGTCGCTGTAAAGTTTGAAAAATTCAGGTAACAATTCCTGGAGGAAAGGGGAATGAGCTGACCTTTTGTGCCCATTGACCAGATGACTTGGCCAAGGTTATACACAGTCAAGTCAAGGTAGGTCTGCAGAGAACAGTGATGTCCTAACTCTGTGATGTATGGTTTAGTTCCAGCCACACTGTCTCCTGAATCTTCCCTGTTGATTTACAGTCATAGGTACCAGGAGGCAGAACCAAACATCTAAGACTGCAGGACTAGTCCAAAATTCATTAGAACACAAGGTGAAGTTGAAAGCAAAAATACCTACTAGAAATATGACCTAAGCTGTATAGGTAGGAAGACATATATATGATGTTATCAACATGTCTTAGTTTGTGCCAATCACATGGGAAATCTGATTCATATGTTTGTTAAATGGGCCAAGTTCTGAATATGATTACAACCCTCCCGAGACCTCAGTTATTTCTCGGATTTTACTTTGGGGAATGGCATTTGAGTGGCCTTTGCCTTGCTCAGCCATAAGCAGGGTATGGGCTTAGTGTCCCGGGTAAGGCGTGGCAGTGCCCAACATACGGCGTGTGATGCGTTGCCGTTTGCACTAAGCAGCAAAGCAGTGATAGAAGGCAATTTGGGGAGATTCCATCCTACCTGATTTGGAAAACAGAGTTCTCTCTGCCGGAGGTAAGGTTAATGGCTTGGGTTTGCAAAGTATGTCTATAATTCTTACATAGCTTTTGAATTAAAACAGACAAAAGGCCTGATGTATAACCCAGGTAAATAAAACCTACCAGACTCAAAAAGGCCCAAATCGGGTTTCACTGCTGTGACCAGCTGATTACTTCGACTACCCATTTTGCAGGGAAGCCAGAGAAAGGCGTTTGGAAACAGGAAGCCGTTATTACAAGAATTCCAATTCAACACTCACAACAGGCTACTGGAAAAGGAGGGAGGGAGGGAGAGACATCCCTGCAGACCCAGGGACGTCTTTTAGGCAAAAGGACTGGTCTGGGTGTTCAGGGTCCCTGGGCCTAGGAATCTTTAATTTTACACCTCATTCCCTTCTGGCATGGCAGCAGAAGCCTCCAGAAAGCGTAGGGTTTGAGTGGCCATGGGGCACCCAGGGAGTCCTGTGTGCCATGCACCACATGCCAGGGGAGTTAAGCAGGTGTGAGACGGTGCCAGGTCACCAGCATGGGGAGGGATCATCCCTACCCCGTCGGGCCCAGCCTAACACGGCCATCTGTCCACCACCTGCTGGTGCCAACAGCCAAGTGAGCACAGAACGGCATCTCAGGTGTTCCTCAGCAGCGGATGAGCTGGGATCTGCTTTCCCCTGCCTTCCACTCTTTTCCTTCACTTTCCCTGCTCAGCTGTCTGTCCTTGAAAAAGAAAAGTGAAATGACTTCATTTTGTGGAGGCTACTGGCTGCAGCTCCTAATAACTCTTAATAATGAAGTGCAAGGGACCATTAAGATTTGTCTTGCGTGGCTTTCACTCACCAGCCTCCATGATAGTCCTGGTGGGGCTGCAGGGTGTGATCCGAATGCACAAAGCAACACAAATGCAGGTGGGTGGGTGAGCAAAGTGCCTACCCCTTTCTGAGACAGGAAAGAGCATTCTGCGAAAATCGGTTTCTGAGGGGAAGGAGTAGGGTCGTCTGAAATGAGGAAGGGAAAACTTTCGTCTTCCTGGGAGTGGCAGTGCGCTGTGGACTGAGGATGGGCTCTGAAGTTGAAACAACTTGGTTTAAAATTTGGTTTGAAAATCCGTGTTCTATTGCCGTGTCCAAGAGGTGTGCCCAAATCATAAAATCTTTAAGGCTGATAAGAGGGTTGCATGAGAATATGTGTGTGATGTATAGGATGGTGCCTGGTACACAGCAGGCAGCATTTGCCTGAGTTTAATTATAAAACAGTACCTTCTTTCTACCAGAACGGTCAAGACTAATGAGAGGGGCCCTCCATGTTGACTAACTTCCTTTCAAAAAAGAAAGGGGTACTGCTGCGGAAGTATCCTCTGAGCAGCCTAAGTAACCGACTCGCCCAGAGTAAAGCACAAAAATCTATAAGCTGGCATTGCTTTATGTATCATCCCCATTGGAGATCTACAGAAGGAGAATGGTAGCAACAGGATAGCAACATAGGTGAGGAAGTGGTCCAGATATCCCACAAGTCCAGGCCTGCTCAGAGCATCCCAGGAACCTCCAGAGGAGCAGAGCAGATGACATGGCACCTTGCGGTAATATCACACCTGCCTTTACCAGCTCTGCAAATGTGAGACCAATCTGAGTTATTCACATCTTCTATAAGCTTACTGTGCAAAGTATTCTGCCAAGGTAGCTGAGAGGACTTCCATATTATTAACAAGGCAGCTGTAAAGGGACACCTGGGTGGCTCAGTCAGTTGAGCGTCCGACTTCAGCTCAGGTCATGATCTCACGGTTCGTGAGTTTGAGCCCCACATCAAGCTCTGTGGTGACAGCTCAGAGCCTGGATCCTGCTTCAGATTCTCAATCTCTCTCTCTCTACCCCTCCTCCACACACGCAATCTCTCTCTCTCTCTCTCTCTCTCTCTCTCTCTCTGCCTTTCAGAAATAAACGTAATAAAAATTTTAAAACAAGGCAGTTGTATAGAAAAGAAATGGTCTTGCAAGTTCTGTTTACGCGCTCAAAAAAGGGAGCAATATCAGGTCCTGCCTCAACTTTTAGTAAACTGATCCAGCCAGCTTTACTCACATGATCTTTGCAAAAGAACAGAAAGAGCTACTCTTACTACATACCAAGCTAGATCAGCATTTTACCTATAGTATTTCAACAGCACCCTGAGGTGGGTGTCACTATCCCCATTTCACAGATTGAAAAATGGAGGCTTGAGAAATTAAGTAATCCACCTGGGGTCACACATTCAGTTGTGGAGGCAGGATTTGATGGCTCAAACGTGCCCTACTCATCGAGAATATAAGTTAATTCTTGTCCTACTCCTGATATGGACCATGATGTTCCTATCTTCAGAAAAAGATGCACTCAGGATTACTGGTGAACAAAGCTTTGAGAGTGGCCATTCGTACTCATGGCATAGTGAAAGGTAAGATGGTGCGGTGAATGAGTCCTTGCCGTGAAGGCACGAGGTCCCAGTGCAAGCTAAGATGGCTTCTTTCTTGTTGTGTGATGTCGCACCCATCACTTATTCTCCCGAAGCCCAGTATCCTCACCTATAAAGTGTGCCTCCTCGTAGAATTGTCATAATCAATGCAGTAACGTAAGTGAGTCAGCTTTCCTATTCCTAAGGCTCTAGGCCAATGCCAGCTATTATATGGCTCAATTCGCTTCAATTCCACTGAGGATTTACTCTGGAATCTCCGGAAAGATCTCCCAACACCTTATCTTTCTCATCTGTAATCTAGAGCTGTTGATACAGAACCTTCTAGTAATTCCCTTCAATAGCCATTCATAAATTTTCGCGACCTACCACCTTTTGGAATCTTGTTAAATCAGATTCCTGGGCCCCGGTGATTCTGATGCAGCCCAGCCAGATGGAGCCTTGTGCCGTTCTCCCTTAAGAAGGACCCCACGTGATTCTGACATCGATGGGCCATGATCACTCTGAAAAATTCTGTCCTGCAAGGTCAATGTTACAAAGAACTGTGGAACCTGTGGGGAAAGAACTTGACCAAGATCATCCGGTCCGTAACACAGCCAAACATTTGACTCCTGATGTCTAGATCCCATTGTTCTGACCACAGGACGGGGACTCAGGAGAACAGCGAAACCTTCTCCTGGTCAGTGGGTTTCCATCAGGGGATTTGACCCTGGAGCACACAGCTGAAGCTTCTAGCACTCCACAGACCTCTTAAAAATATTGAGTGTCACTGCCTTGTTCTTCTTCTTCCACAGATACGTTTGCAAGCAAAGTGGCCGCCACCCAGGACCAGTACGCAGATGCATCCATAGGTAACGTCACTGGCAGCAACGCTGTGAACGTCTTCCTGGGAATCGGCGTGGCCTGGTCCATCGCTGCCATCTACCACGCGGCCAATGGGGAACAGTTCAAAGTGTCCCCTGGCACGCTAGCTTTCTCTGTCACTCTCTTCACCATTTTTGCTTTCATCAACGTGGGGGTGCTGCTGTATCGGCGAAGGCCGGAAATTGGAGGTGAGCTGGGTGGGCCCCGGACTGCCAAGCTCCTCACATCCTGCCTCTTCGTGCTCCTGTGGCTCTTGTACATTTTCTTCTCTTCCCTGGAGGCCTACTGCCACATAAAAGGTTTCTAAAGGAACAATCAGATATAGTAAATTTATATATATACGTATATATATATACATAAAATATTATGTATAACGAACAGAGGAAACTGACATTTGTCATGTTCACTTACCTGCTGATGGAACCCAGCTTCAAGAGCATACTCTGTACTAGGGCCGAAGTGAGAAACCATCACCTCCTATTCCCAGGGGCATCGTCACCTTGAACAAGGCATGAAGGCAGGGGCATCTTTGCAGCTCAGCCTAGAAGGACTGTGTTCTCTCCAGGTTCATAAATCATTAAGTCTTTGATTTGTTTTCTGTTTCTGCTTGTTTTTGGTGGGGGCTGGGAGGTGGTTGATGTTTTGACTTTTATTTTGTCTTGTTTTGTGGGAGGTCAAAGTTTTTGTTTCCCTCGCGGGAGGTGATGACCAATCCAAGTGCAAATGGGTTTTTTGGTGAAAATTTAAATCATGACAATTGCCCTTTTTCCAAACACTTTAAAAATTATTTGGGATTCAGAAAGGATGCAGGCACGGAAGAAGAGGCAGGTCTGTGCTCAATCACTAAATTTTGTGCTTCTCTCTGGAATATGAGCAGAGATAAAGCTGCCTCCAGAAGAAGCATGGGAGCTTGAACAGAGTCGGGAGAAGTGATGGTTCTAGATACAGTCTGATAGTTAACAATATGATGCCTGACACTCTTGTTCAGCAGGTACAGAAATAATGTGCCTCGATTCCCAAGAACGTGCAAAATCATTAATTTCTTATCTCTTTAGCTCTGGACTGTGATTAGCAAGGCCCTCATTCTGATTTTCCAGCCTGGCTAACCCCCCAGACCCCCCATTCCAACCCTCCTCCTCCTGCCCACCATTTCTCAGGCAAACAGGAGTAATCCCATTCAAAAAAGTGCATCGTTTTCCATTTGCATCATGTGTGTCCCAGTCCCATGTGTGCTGTTGCCTGGAACCATTCGTCGGTTTTATTTTGGGACGTATCCATGGCTTGCACAATCCCGTTCCAGTCATGACTGAACATATGCTCCCTCTTCGTGTGCCTGTTTGGGAATGTTGTTGTGATACCTGTTACACAGTGCATGGATGAAAAACAAAATAAGTGTATCTGTATATAGTAGAGTATAGTGTATACTGTTCTCCCATTCAGCAACGTTGACTGGACATTGAAGATAGAAGTGAGTTTCCTTTTCACCTGAGTTGTAACGTTTGTGTTGTTACTGAGTTTGATTTTAGTAGGGATAAAAGAAAATGGCTTATTGTTCATGGACCTGCACATCCATTTCTAAGAAGCAATAACAGGTCATTGGGAAGTTAAAGCTCCTGAGAGGACAGCAGGCAAACTACCAAGTATCATCATGGGAAATTAGCCATGTGGAATACACCCGAGGCCTCTAAAGAATCACCTGTTGGTGATTCCGGAGGGTGAGGAGAAAGTTGTAGAGCAGTGGCCAGATTCGATGTGCCCAGGCTTTGAGAGCCTCCATTTCCCTGACACCCACCCCTGCCCCCAAAGTATTTATTTCACTTCTGCTCTGTCTGGCACAGATGGTAGATAGTGGTTTGTTCAGTTTATTTTTTTACATAAAAGGCTATTTTGAGCCCTGTTACTCTCACCATCCAGACTCCTCTGATTCTATCTGCAGTTCCTGAGTAGGAAATAAGCCAGGGAGATCCATGGGCCTTTAAAAGTGCGTCTTCTGTACTTATGACTAAGGAGTAAGCAATTAAATGAGATTAGTGCCTCCCAGGAGGATTGCACTGGGAGGTTTTTAACCCTGGAAAAGGAATGGCTCTTTCTATTTCAAAATACCAAAGAGCATGGATACGCCCAACATTCCAAAGTAGTGAGTCTAGTAATGAGGAAAAACGGAATGACTTTGGTCCTGTCTCAGAGACTTCTCTATCTATAAAACATCCCAGGCCAGAGACACCACTGGCCCTTTGTATTGATTCAAAGATACTTAAGAGATAAAAGCTGTTCAGAGTTACTCTCTCTTCTTCTACTCCGTAATTATGATCACTCATCATTTCATAAACATTTGGTGACTGAATGAAAAATTAAATGCTGGTTACTACTCAATATATCAGGTGCTGTGCTACTCGTGGGGACTAAACCATGAACAGGACAGCTCAGATCCCTGCCCTCGGGGCTCCCAGCTAATGTGATTGCTATCTCCATGGGTAAAAGTTAGCACAGCCAGATGAAAACAGTTTTATCTTGCAGGGAAAAAACAATTATAAAACTTTTAACATAAACACACTGAAACTGTACACATACGAATGTCCAAATATCTAAGATTTTAACTTAAGAGATAAAGCACAGGTTAGGGGAAGCATCGTATGTGTCCTCAGCCAATCTTGCAGATCTGTGCATCTCCCCATTGTAAACCAAGAAGGGCAATCACGTTGGTGATCCATAGGACTGAGCAAGTCCAAGTAATCCCAGTTTTTATCTCTGTTGGACAACAGTACTTTTCTATGCCCCACACCTCTACCATTCCTCATATCTCCAGGAGACTCACCCCAGCCGGCCGTGGTCCAAAACTGGTGGCCTAACTCTTTCGGGGGCACATTCTAATCCATTTTTTTTAAGATTTAGTAAATGGAAAGCTAGCCTAGAAACGCCAAGTAAATATAGTCAAAGGGCGTGAGTTGTTGAAATATTAGATTTTTGCACTCAATTTTAGCCATATTTGGAACGTCAATAATCCTGTAGCAGATTTTCACAGAGGACTTTCAGAAATTCTTGCCACTGAATTTTAATTTCAAAGCTTTTTGGTTTGTTTGCTTTTTAAAGTTTCATGTTATAGGGAAAATATGATTCTGATTTTTCAGGGTTGTTAATAATTGTAGTTGTGTAAAATTATTTCATTTTGTTTCTCTTGTGTGTATTGTGCACAGCTTTAGGGGGGAAGTGCACTGATTGTGCTGTTCCTTATAAATGGTACACATTATTGGCACAAATAAAGTTTCTAATTGTTTCTGATTTAATCACCAGTGATACAGCATATTCTGTATGTAAATGTTTTCTCTCATGGTCATCTACTTCATTTTTGTTTTCATGTTTTGAAGAAATAAAGACCAAAAAGGTATTATTGTGCAATTGGTATCCTCATCCAAAAGACAGAAAGTAGATACCCAGGATTCAGACTCTTGCAAATGTCAACCCTTCGGTCATGTAAGATTTCCTTTCTAATGTCCCAAGAGAGCACAGTGTCAGAATGTGTGTCTATCTGATGGTACAGAGATAAGTGTTGGAGGTTTCTCCATTTCATTTTTTTTTTTTTTCACATCTTTTAGTACCCTTTATCTGCCTCCTTTCTGCATCCAGGAACATTAACCCATAAACAACTATGCATCCAACCACTTTTTAGCAGAATATTCTGGCTAATAAATTAATTCTGGTAAAACTGATCCAAGCAATACTTAGTCTTTTAGTATCACTGTATTCCTCTCGATTCCTAATAGAACTTCCTTGCATTAATTTCTGACTAATTACATGCTATTGACTTTATGTGTCATATAATCAATAGTATAGGATGAGGTGACACCAGAAATAAGCATTTGTAGGGGGAAAGTATGTGACCTCTAATTTGTGTACTTATTTGCAAGCCTACATTAATATCAGTGGATTTAGTTCTTATAATGGAAACTGTCCACTGTGTACGTGTAGTGATATTCATCTGACAGTCTTTCACATTTGCTTTAGAATTCCTCATTATGTCCATATATGATCATATGTGCCACCCTTTCACATGTGAAGGAAAAAAGGTGTAACTTAAGTATTTTCTTGGATCATCAATTAATGTCTCCTAATTACCAATCTTTGGTTTAACACAAAATGAGCAGACAACGTTTATTTCTTTAAATAACAAAGGCAGTAAATCAATGACCAGAGTAGTCTTGGCTGTTTAACTACCCTTCAACAAAATGCCTTGGCTCAATGATTCTCAACCTCTTCTGAGATCATTTTAATTCTTTCAAACCCAGTAAGTCAAGCCTGCCACCAGAAAAGATTTCAGAGAGCTTTGTTTTCTATAAACACACGTTTTCTTGTTGCTTTTCAAAGAAGAAAACTATAAAATTTGCTCTTTTAAACCACCCTGCACGCATTCTGATAGGTGGATCCCATTTGCAACAAGAATCCCTAACACAGCATCTGTCCCCCAATGGTCTCACTGTTAATAGAAGCACAAGCTTTTTCCATACAGGGAAATTCATTGTTAGTCCACAGCCCATGATCCCTGATCCTAATCTGTCAGAATAGAGACTGACTGGTTTGTTCTACGCATATCTGAGAACTTTGTGGAAGCAATTAGAAAAATAATAAATTTCCTCCAATAGATGATGAAGCCCTCCATTCTCTAACATTGACAAAACTTTACCTTCTCAAGAATATAAATCAGCTCCTTTAAGACTTCTTTTAAAAAGTGGTTCCTGGCTCAAGATGTAGAGCTTCTCTTTGGATTCTGGTTTTTTGTCCCTGATCTTGTGCAGTTGAATTCGGAGCAAGTCTTGAGTATGATTTCATAACTATATGACTGAGTAATGGCCATTTTGGGATTGACAGTGCACAACCTTAGATCTCATCCAGACCTACAGCTGGCAGTCACAGCTTCTCTTATAGAAACCGCTGGACTTGATGAAAGCATTCTAGCTGTGGGTAAAAGTGAGCATTCGAATCAATAAACAAGTGAGTGCACTATGTAGATGAGCTTTACATGATCAGATGCTGTTATAAGTGCATTTATTACCTTTCATTCAGACCTACCTACAAATTTTTGTTACTGGATGTCATCTCTGCTCTTCTTTTCAATATTACATTCCTATCACTTCTAGGACCATGTTCATGGTCTTCCACCCAGCACGTTTTAAGTGCTGTGTGGTCTGGATGGTATTCCACGTACCAGGGTGACATAGGAAGGGGAAACAATTGCAACAGTTAGGGATTTCATTTTTGGAGCTTAATCAGGCCATGGTTAATCATCTCCCAAAGCAGAGAGAGTCTTTCCTATAGAAGGAACAACCACTGAGTGTTAGGTCTCCCAAGGGAAAGAGCACTTCAGCTTTCCAGCCCACAAGAACTGGTGAGTAGCCTACTGTGACTTTTTCCCTGTCTACCAAGGTGTCCCAAAAGATGCCCTCAGAGGCTCTACCCATTTTCAACTTTACCAAAGTTCCTCCGATTTAATCTCCTAAGGGACATTTAAATCAACAGTCATTGTATATATTATTTTATTTGTAAGAGAGAACATTACTTCACAACTTCAGAAGGCAACATGACTTTGTAGTTAAA